TTACTTTTCTTTTCATGTCTTTGTTTTGGTATCAGAGTAATATGGGCTTCATAGAATGAGTTGTCAAGTGTTTCTTTCTTTTTTTTTTTTTAAAGATTTTATTTATTTATTTGACAGAGAGAGACACAGCGAGAGAGGAACACAAGCAGGGGGAGTGAAAGAGGGAGAAGCAGGCTTCCCGCCGAGCAGGGAGCCCGATGCGGGGCTCGATCCCAGGACGCTGGGATCATGACCTGAGCCGAAGGCAGGCGCTTAACGACTGAGCCACCCAGGCACCCCTGTCAAGTGTTTCTTCCTCGTCTGTTCTTTAGAAGTGTTTTTGGAAGGATTGGCATTAATTCTTCTTTAAATATTTGATAAAAATGAATATTCACTGGAATACCAGTAAACCACCTGGGCCAGGGTTTTTCTTTGCAGGAAGTTTTTTGTTGTTGTTACCAATTCAATCTAGTCATATTGTCTTTTTTGTTGAGTCAGTTTTGGTGATGCCTTCCTAGGAACTTGTCCATCTAATTTAGGTTCTTTAATTTATTGGCATACAATTGTTCAAAGTATTCCCTTATAATCCCTTTTCTGTCTGTGAGGCCACTAGTAAAGTGAATTCTTTCAGTCCTGATTTTAATAATTTAAGTCTCTCTCTCTCTCTCTCTCTTTTTTTTTTTTTTTTGTCTTGGTCAACCTAACCAAAAGTTTGCCCATTTTTCAGGAAACCAACTTTTGGTCTTGTTGATATTCTCTATTTTATTTTCAATTTTCTATTTCATCTATTTCCATTCTAATCTTTATTATGCACATACTTCTGCTTGCTTTGGATTCTATGTTCTCTTCATTTTTTAGTTTCTTAGGGTGGAAAAATAGGTTATTTATTTGAGATTTTTTAAAAATATAGTAATTTACATTCCTGTATTTCTCTCTGTGTATTGCTTTAGTTTGGTATATTGTGTTTTCAGTTTCTTGCATCTTTAAGTATTTTCTAATTTCTCTTTTAATTTCTTCTTTGATTTATTATTTAGGATTGTGTTGTTTAATATCCACACATTTGTGAATTTCTAAATTTCTTTCTCTTATTGATTTTTAATTTTATCCTGTTGTGATTGGAGAATTGTATCATTTCGATTCTTTTAAAAGTATAGATTACTTTATGGCCTAACGTATACTGTATCCTGGAGAATGTTCCATGTGCAATTGAGAAAAATGTATATTTTGCTGTTGTTGGGTAGAGTACTTTGTATATGTCTGTTAGGTCTAACCCACCAATGGAAAATTCACAATGTCTACCACCCAATCAAAAACTACCAAGCATAGGGGATGTAGTCAATATTTTAATAGCATTGTACGGTGACAGATGATAGCTACACATGTGGTGAGCATAGCATCCATATAGAGAAGTTGAATCACTACTTTGTACATCTGAAACTAATGTAACATCATGTGTCAATTCTACTTAAGAAAAAAAAATTTTTTTAACTGCCAAGCATGCAAAGAAGCAGGAGAATATAACCCATAATGAGAAGACAAGCCAATCAATCAAAACTACCAGAAATAACACAGATTATAGAATTAATAAACAAGGACATTAAAACAGTTATTATGACTGTATTTCACATGTTGAAGATGCTAAAGTGAAGATCAAACACATTGAGTAGAGACATGAAAGAGATTTTTAAAGATCCAAATCATATTTAATGAAATGAAAACTACCATGTCTGAAATTTTTTTAATGAGTGGGATTAATGGCAGATTCAATATTGCAAAAGAAATGTTTAAAATAAACTTCAAGACATAGGAATAGAAACTATCCAAAATAAAACAAGGAGAAAAAATATTGGATTAAAATGAACAGAGTGGGGCACCTGCATGGCTCAGTCAGTTAAGTGTCTGCCTTCAGCTCAGGTCATGATCTCAGGGTCCTGGGATTGAACCTCATGTCGCACTCTCTGCTCAGTGAGGAGTCTGCTTCTCCCTCTCCCTCTACCCCTCCCCCCACTCATACTCACTCTCTCACTCTCTCTCTCTCATAAATAAGGCCTTTAAAAAATCTGAAATTGTAAAAAAAGAAAAAAATAGGGGTGCCTGGGTGGCTCAGTCAGTTAAGCGTCTGCCTTCAGCTCAGGTCACGATCTTAGAATCCTGGGATCAAGCCCCACGTTGGGCTCTCTGCTCAGCAGGGAGCCTGCTTCTCCTTCTCCCTCTGCCTGCTGCTCCCCCTGCTTGTGCTCTCTCTCTCGCTCTCTCTGTCAAATAAATAACTAAAATCTTTTTTAAAAAATGAACAGAGCATTGATAAATTGTGGAACAACTGAAAGTATCCAAATACATGTATAATTGTAGTCCCCAGAGTGGTAGCCAAGAAGTGAGGCAGAATGAGGTGATAGAAAAAAATATTTGAAGAAATAATGGACAAAAATTTTCTGAATATGATGGAAACTATAAACCCACAGATCCAAGAAATGCAATAAACCCCCAGCACAAGAAACCTAAAAAAGACTACACGAAGGTACATCGTAATCAAGTTGTTTAAAATTTGTGATAAAGAGGAAACTTTAAAAGCTGCCAAAGGAACAAAGATAAAAATGACAGTAGATTTCTTATCAAAAATGATGCAAAGTAGAAGACCTTGGATGAGTATCTTTAAAGCACTAAAAGAAATAACAACAGTCAACCTACAGTTTTTTATGCAGTGAAAATATCTTTTGAAAATGAAGGGGAAATGAGGCTGTTTTCAGACACACAAAAGCTGACAGAAGTCATCACCAGCAGACCTACAGTACATGAAATGTTAAAGGAAGTCGTCCAGGCAAAAGGAAAACTGTAGCAAATAGAAACCTGGATCTACACAGAGGAATGAAAAGCAACAGAAATGACAACTCCATGGGAATATACATAAGATTTTTTTTTATTATTTATATCTCTTTAAAAGGTGATTGAACCAAAATAACAGCAATGTATTATGGGCCTTGTAACATGTGGAAGAAAAATAACAGCACAAATGCTGGGTAGAGACAAATGAAAGTGTTATAAGGTTCTTATACATGAAGTGGTGTAACATCTCTTGAAATTAGGCTGTAATAAGTGTAAGGCGTGCTTAATAAATCCCTTCATGGCACAGATTGTAATTCACATGATCGGGCACCTGCCGTCCACCACCAATAGTGCCAGGAGACTGACCTTCTTAAAGCTGATTGGGTCAACCCTTTGCTGGTAAAAATTTAAATGGCTCTGCTAATCTCCCCCAATAAATTCTGAAGGCTAAAACCTATCTTTCCATTCTCACCTGTCAAGATAACCTTTACATACGCTGTGAAGAAATAGATCTATGGCATCCGGGCCTCCTTGGGACACTTCTGGAAACTGTAGTAGACAATTAGGAATGTGTGGGGGTTTTTGCACTAAAAATTTGCACCTGGGGAGTGGGTAGACATGTCATGAGTCTTCAACAGTCATGTGGGAGGAGACCAAGGAAGGTATAAACCCTTTTGTGGGTGGCAAAGAGCTTCTCATATCTGGCAGAATCCTCACCTTGCCTTTGAACCAACACCCATACCTGAACACCTACTTGGGTAAGTAGAGGACTTGAGACCCATCCTTGGAGTCATCTATTTTAGTGCCGGCTTTGTAGAATTTTCTCCTTCAGTTTCCGTATCCTTTTCTATTGAAGGAACGTTACAGACTCTGAGTTATTGAGTGCCAATGTGAAAAAATTCCCACATTTTCACTTAGCAACATGTCAGTGAGAACTCCTGATGAGACATTGCAGTGGATGATGGAAGGCTGCAGATCTTTGTCACTCCCTCCTTTGAGAGGAGTGGTTTGTTTTCCTTCCGCTTGCATCTGGTGTGACTGTTTTACCCATAGGAAAGCAGGGAAAGTGTTATTCCAGCTGCAGCCAACACCTCACAAACACCCAGCGGCTTCCAGTTCTATACTTTCGAGAGTTCTGAATTACTGTGTAAGAAATAGCCTACCCCAAAGGAGCAAATACGTGCAGAGAGGCCCTTAGACGACATGGAGAAGAGACACCCTGTCAGTAGCTGTCCTCACCAAGATGCCGACCGTGTGCAAGAACCACACTGAACCCCCCTCAGCCCAAGTAAGCTTCCACATGACTGCAGCCCCAGCTGACATCACGTGGAGCAGAACTGCCTGACTGACCCCAGCCCACCCACAACATCAGGGGAGAAAACAAAATGGTGGTGGTTTTACTGGACTTGGCGGGGGAGGGGGGGGTACTTGCGCAGCAATAGATAATTAAGACAGCCAGCAAAAATCTTAATGTTTGAGCCTCTTTGAAAATTACCAAAACTAAATTCAAAAACCAAACCTCAAGTCTTATGGTGAAGTTGGGGACCATGTGCTGGTCATCACTGATCAGATAAAAAGAGCATGGGGTTGAGAGTGGAACAGCTGGGTTGAGAATTAACTGAGCTACTTGTAAACTGTTTGACCTTGGTAAGTCACTTGACCTTTTGCTCCTCCATCTTCTCATCATACAATTAACACCAATTTTAGGGGGTTCTGAGGAAAGCCAAATGAAACCATTTAAAAGAATCTTTTTATTGGGTAAGGTAGGATTGCATTTTTGCCTCTCCTCTTGTCTTTGAGCTTAGAGATTTGTTGACCACGAACCATGGCTTTTCAAAAGGGGAGCACTATTGTCTCCTGCCTTGGAATGGCAAGATGATGTGAGATCTAGGCTATTAAAGAGGTACTATTTTATCCATTTGACATCCAAGAAAGAGTTCTGAGGGTGATTCGTACGTTTTCAGAATTGTAAGCCATTTCACTGAGGGTTTGTGAAAATTCCAAGTAAGGGCTGACAAGAGCAATGGAGGAGCACACCATGAACTTCTGAGAAATCCACCACGCTTCCCTTTTTCATCATTACCAGTCTACTCTCAATTGTCAGTACCTGGGAGGTAGGGAGAGAAGAAGGGAGGGAGGGAACTAATAGCAGAGATTTTCCGGTGATTGAATTCTTGTTTCTGTTCTAATTCGTGTAGGCCACAGCCCCTCTTTCCAACCCAACATGTTCAGAACCATCATGTTGCCTAATGGACCCTTTAGGTGCCCAGGTGAGTTTTTGTTTCTTTATTTACTTAGGATCTATCTCCCCCAACTAGGATGTCAGCTACATGAGAACAGAAACCTATCTACTACGTTAGCAATGAATTTCTCAGTCTGTCCAGGCTGCTCTCTGCTCAGCGGGAGAGTCTGCTTCTCCCTCTCCCTCTACCTCTGTGCTCTCCCTCCCTCTCTCTCTCAAATAAACAAATAAAAGTAAACAACAACAACAACACAAACTGGGTGGCCTGTGAACAACAGAAACTTATTTCTCACAGTTCTAGGGGCTGAAAGTCTGAGGTCAGAGTGTGCACATGGTCAGGTGAGGGCTCTCTTCTGAGTTGCAGACTTCTTATCGTATCCTCACATGGTAGAAGGAGCAGGGAGCTTTGAGGGCTCTCTCATCACCACTCATCCCGTTTATGAGGGCTGCACTCTTGTGACCTCATCATCTTCCAAAGGCCCCACCTGCTAATATCATCATCTTTGGGAGCTAGGCTTTCAGCATATGAATTTGGGGAAGACACAAACATTCAGGCCATAGCAACGGAAGAAATACAGAGCCTCTCACCCTTTGGTCCCAGACCTACTGCACCAGGAACGGAGTCTTGGGAATCTGTCTCTTACTGAGTATTCTTTTTTTTTTCCTAAAGATTTTTTTTTTTTTGAAATTTTGTACCATTTATTTATTTATTTATTTTTATTCTTATGTTAATCCCCATACATTACATCATTAGTTTTAGATGAAGTGTTCCATGATTCATTGTTTGTGCATAACACCCAGTGCTCCATGCAGACTGTGCCCTCCTCAATACCCACCACCAGGCTAACCCATCCTCCCACCCCCTTCCCCTCTAGAACCCTGTTTGTTTTTCAGAGTCCATCCTCTCTCATGGTTCGTCTACCCCTCTGATTTCCCCCGCTTCATTCTTCCCCTCCCGCTACCTTCTTCTTCTTTTTTTTTTCTTAACATATATTGCATTATTTGTTTCAGAGGTACAGATCTGTGATTCAACAGTCTTGCACAATTCACAGCACTTACCAGAGCACATACCCTCCCCAGTGTCTATCACTCAGTCACCCCATCCCTCCCACCCCACCCCCCACTCCAACAACACTCAGTTTGTTTCCTGCGATTAAGAATTCCTCATATCAGTGAGATCATATGATACATGTCTTTCTCTGTTTGACTTATTTCACTCAACATAATACCCTCCAGTTCCATCCATGTCGTTGCAAATGGCAAGATCTCATTCCTTTTGATGGCTGCATAATATTCCATTGTATATATATACCACATCTTCTTTATCCATTCATCTGTCGTTGGACATCTTGGCTCTTTCCACAGTTTGGCTATTGTTTTTTCCTAAAGATTTTATTTATTTATTTGACAGAGAGAGACACAGCGAGAGAGGGAACACAAGCAGGGGGAGTGCGAGAGGGAGAAGCAGGCTTCCTGCTGAGCCGTGAGCCCGATGCGGGGCTCGATCCCAGGACCCTGGGATCATGACCTGAGTCAAAGACAGACGCTTAATGACTGAGCCACCCAGGCGCCCCTCTTACTGAGTTTTCTAAGTGGTTGATCCTCACATACTCTGGAGACTGAGAACCACCAGACCTAATGGCTGGATCAAACCAGAACATTTAGGACAAACGAAGAGATTGAAGACGTTTCATGATATTTCAGACCAAGAAATCCAGAGGAAGTTTTATAACTACAGCCCCCAGGGCTGTTTCCAAACAGACCAATCGGCTCATTCTCCTTGGTTCAAGCTCAAAACTGGCCAGGAAGTGTAGTCCCTCAGTCCTTGCACTGTGAGAACATCCTCCTGACAGCACTTTGACACTATTTCTAGGCATATCATGGCTAGATGACAAGCCCTGATCTTTTTTCCTGACATGTGAGTGTGTGTGTGGTTCTGGGGTTAGTCCGTTGGAAGGTGAAGCTGGCAAGGAGACTGAAGGCCTGCTTGTCTGAGGGGGGCAGGCAGAGAGGGGCCCCCGGCTTGAGGGCCAGACAGACAAAGTTCAAATCCAACTTCTAACCTCACTTTTTACAACAAACATATTTTAGATAGATCAGAGATTAAAATTAAAAAATTAAAGACAAATGTAGGAGGCTATCTTTACAATCGTCAACAGAGGAAGAACTACTCAGCATGACCTAAAATTCAGAGACTGTGAAGGAAAATAACGTATCATTTCAGCTACATAAAAGCGAAATCCTTTCATCTAGAAAAGACAATATTAGGAAAAAATTAAGTTTACCAAACAACTGAAAACTTAGGGAAAAATGTTGGCAGCATGCATCACCCACAAAGGGTTAATGCTCATAAGAAATTAATAATTCCCACAAATCCAAGACAGAACTGGGCAAAGCATATGAATACCCAATCTACAGAAGGAGAGAAGCATCCCATGAACATGAAAACTATGTTCAAGATTACTAAAAATGAAAAAAACATAAATTAACATAATAGGAAAATAACTTGTTTTGGCAGAGACCAAAAGATTTCTAAGAAGTAAGTGAGATAAAAGGAACCAGGCACAGCTTTTGTAAACAGAACTTGTTAAAATCTTTTTTGGAGGATAAAGTGCCAATGCCAAGCAAAATTTAAAAGTCACATTCCGTTTCACCCAGCAGTTTTGTTTCTCGAAGTTTATCCAAAACGGGCTTTGGCACAAGTAAGCAGCCCTATGTGCACAGTATAAAGTTATCGGGTTTTTTTTAATAGCAGTTCCAACCTTGAAAGATTTGGACTGATTCTAAGAGTCCGTTGTGGGGGATGTATGGCCCAAATGCTTCCATAGATGACCATTGGCCACACCTTGGCCAATGGCCAGGCGACACGTACATCAAGGACTCCAACAGGGTGAATCACATGACTCTCGCTTTGCATGGGAGGTAGCAGGGTTTCTCTCTCCCTCATCACCCTGAGGAGAGACTATAAAGCCTGGTACTGCTACAACAGTGAGGGGAAGCAACCTTCTAAAAAAAACAACTTGCAGAGGAGGGCACATCAGAGGAAATGCCAAAGATAAAAAGACCAACAACCAGTGAAGCTAGAACCACACTGGATTAAGCCTATCTTGAAGCTACCTTTTCCATGGACTTCAGTTACATGGGCCAATAAATTTCTTCATTGGTTAAACCTGTTTGAGTCATTTTCTGATACTGCAGCCAAAAACCTCATGATAGAACCATCAGTAGGGAAGTGGTTGAAGAAATTATGGCACAGCCTGTTCACAGGATAAGAAGAAGTACAGATAGATGTATAAGCAGTGTTGTGCACATATTTCCATTAATAAGGAAAGTGCTAGGAAATCATATGTATGGTATCACTCCATTTATTTTTTTTTTTTAAGATTTTATTTATTTGACAGAGGAGACACAGCGAGAGAGGGAACATAAGCAGGGGGAGTGGGAGAGGGAGAAGCAGGCTTCCCGCGGAGCAGAGAGCCCAATGTGGGGCTCGATCCCAGGACCCTGGGATCATGACCTGAGCCAAAGGTAGATGCTTAACCATCTGAGCCACCCAGGCGCCCCTGGTATCACTCCATTTAGTTAAAAAAATAAACTATGGAGGGAGATATAGATTAGAATCTGAGGGGAAGAGGAAGCTTTTATTTCTACCTTTATGAACTGATTTTTTAAGGCTTTGGCAATAAATACGTGTTACTTCTAATGTACGTGTATATGCATAGATACGTATTTCAGTTTTAGAGCCCTGAAGTGTTCTAGATGCCATCATCTAAAAAGTTATGGTCTAACAGATACTAAGGGCTTAGTCTCCAAATATCATACAGTTTTTACATGAGATCAATTTGCATAACCTATGCTTATTTAGCTTTTGATCATTTTCTCCAGTTCCTTGCCTGCCTTGAAATAGAATGTGTGTCTTGATCTCCAGAATAATAAAAACAAATAGAAAATACCTCACAGGGCCTGGCACAAAATGGCCAATCAAAGCCAGTTCTCATTATTTCATTTTTCTTAAAAGGAGCCCTTCCTGAAATTTATTTTTGCTTGGAGCTCAATGAAGCTACCTCGGACAGTCCGTGTCTTCAAACACCCTAGAAGAAGCAACAGCTCCCTGAGTCCAGCTCAGGAGATGGGCCGGGGCTCCTACCTCTGGAAATGACATGGTTACAAACACAGCCCCGGGGAAACCAGGAAGGGTCCTTTATGGGAACCTTAGACTCACTGATCCAACCAGCTGAAAAGGAGCCTTGGAAAAGTCATCTGGCTGCCCTGCTCATTTTTCAGAGGATTAATCAAGACAAATTCCCTGGAATTTTCCTTAACTGGATGTCACCTTCTGTTTTCAATATGAGAAAATACAAAGGAAGAGCTTCCAGCCAGTGGAGTCTTGAGCCACATCCCCCAGATACTTGGAGCCAGGTTTTCCTTCCCCCGGGGTAGGAGAACTGAGAAGCAGCTCAGTCAGTCAGGGCCGCGGTCTCCCCAGAAACCAGCAGCCTGGGGCTCCGAGCCCAGCTTTGAGGTCGCCTTCCATCCCAGCTCACAGCTCTGTTTCATTTTGCAGTGATGAATGTTACACACACACACACACACACACACACACTGATTTTTTTAAGAGCCTTCAGTAGAGCTTTAAATTGCTCTCAGTTATTGTTGGTTATCGGGGTAGCAGTTCTTGTTGAGCCAGGCTTGGCTTTGAACCTACCTTTCCCAGACATATGTACATGGGCGTAGGCATATGTAATTTCAGAGATATTCCCATGCATGTTCTGTGTGCTATGGAGACTCAGGAAAGATACAAAATCCATGCAGATTTTCATGTAAGGAGGCAACCTCCTATTGAGTCTTTTGAAAATTTTACGAAGTACAAAAGAAATGAAAGTTCATGGTGCTCATCTCTGGCACACAAGGGCACTCAACAAGTATTTGTGGGATGACTGAATGACTTGGCCCTAGGACCTGATGCAGATGATTTGCCTTTGTTGGGCCCCGTTTCCTCTCTACAGATGGAAATAACTGCACCCGCTCTGTGGCATGGTGGTGAAGGCTGAGGTGAAATGTCGTGTCAAGGAAAGGCATGCTGTGAATATAAGACACTGGGAATGGCGGGGAGTTCAATCTCGGTGTCCAGCTATGCCGATCAGAAACCAGCGGGTGATCTGAGGTGAACTTCCCAAGGAACTGTACCACCACCCTCCACTCTTATCTCCCCTAGAATGCACAACCTCCTTGCAGTCAGGCTGCCTTATCAGTGTCCCCACATGGCAAGTTCAGCCAGCTTTGTGCTTTGGTTCAGGCCAGGCTCCTCTGAAATGAGTTTCCAGGCCTGCGACCCGCTTAGCACTGTTTGCCCTCCCTTTCAAGTTCAGTCTTCAGTTTCAGCTTTCCAAGAAGCCTTCAAACCACCCTCTGGAGGTGCTCTCTCTCCTGTCCTCCCCTCCTGAGCTCACCACCCTCCCTGTAAGGCAGCAGGCAAACTTCCCTGGATGCCACCCTAACAGAAGCCAGGTGCCAACATGGCTACGAGGTTGACTGTCAGCGTGCTCATCTTAAAAGCCATGAGAAAAGACTTTTGTTTTTATTTTTGCTTTTATTTGCTGTAATTCAAAAACATATCCTTATATATCAAGAGCCCAAAGCCTGGAAGCCACCAGAGAGGGAGTACACATTCGAGCCAGCACATAACACAAGAAGTATGAGGGAATATGACTGGGTTTGGGGCTGCAGAGGAAGAGGGGTGGAGGGGACCCAAGACAAAGAGGCATCTGTGTCTGGATTTCTAGGCAACCCTTGCGTTGAAGCCCCACCTCCAACGTGAAGCCTGTGGGCTAGGAGCAAGGGGGCTGGGGTGAAGGAGGTGGGATGCCTAGGAAGATGGCCTGAGGGAGGCCTCAGGGTTCCAGTAGCCTCAGTGAGCTGCAGGAGGCCTCTGAAAAGTTCCTTGGCTCTCCAACCTCCCCCGGAAAGCACATGCCTCATGAGACCAGGGACCAGGTCAACAGGCAGCTCCCAGTGAGATGGGGCAAGTGGAGAATCTTGGACCAGTCTAAATACTTGAGGAGATACGTAAGACTGAGAGAGCCTGAGTTCCCTTGAACTGGAAAGATGGCATTTTTCCACCATCCACACAAGAAATTCCATTTGGGTGTAATCGTGACTCAATGTCACACCTGCCATCCAGCAGCTACCCGCCTCCCCTGGGTGACCAACCATCCCAGTTTGCCCTGGACCGACCCGGGATTAACACATCGGCCCGAGAACTTCCTCAGTCCGGGTGCTAACATAGCCTCTTCTCAGGATGTCCCAGGTTGAGTGAGGAGCAGAGACTGTCCGTATTCACAACATGTTCACTCAACCAGCAAAGCTGAACACAGCTGTCCCCGTGCTGAAGTCTGAGGGGGGAGAACCATTCTTAAATAATGAAAATACAGCGTGATAAGGGGAAATATAAATTAATGCAATGAGATAGTACTGCACACCAGCATGGCTAAAATCGAAAAGATTGACAACAATGTTGACACAGACATGGTGCTCCAGGAACCTCATATGCACTGGTGGGAACATAAGGGACGCCTCCAATTTGGGGAAAAGTGATACTTTTTTAATAAAACTATATATATGCCTACCCTTTAACCCAGTGAGTCCGATCCTAGATATTTTCCCAAGAGAAATAAACACCTATGTCCACAAAAGACCTTTACTTCATAGCAAACTTAGTCACAACAGCCAAAAGCTCGGGAAAGCTGTCAAACAAAATGGTGGCATATTTGTACAATGGAAGAGCGCTCTTGAAAAAGGAATGACCTACACACACACACACGGATGAATCCCCACAACCTTCCACTGAGTGGAAGAAGCTCAACACAAAAGAGCACAAACTCCATGCTCCGTGTATATGAAATGCCAGGAAAGACGAAACTCACCTGTAATGACAGAAATGGGATTAGTGGTTTCCTGGGGCTGGGGTGGGCAGCAGGGACCAGGCAGGGACACAAGGGAAACTTTCAGGGTGCCGGAAATATCCTATATCTTGCCTGTGGTGGTTGTTACACAGGTTTGCACACTTGTCAAAACTTACCAAGCTGCACACTTAAAATGGGTGCATTTTCCTGTTCTTGAATTATTCCTTAAAAAGGTTGATTTTTAAAAAATCAGAATGAGAAAATGTAATAGGATGCAATAAAGCACTGTAACAAGCATGCACACAAAACACTGAGGGGATGAAAGAAGCCTTGGCCACTGGGCTGGGGCAGAAAAGTCAAAGGAACAGAGCAAATGGAGAAGAGAAGGAAGGGTACCCCCTGCAGAGACCGCCCATCCGTGCAAGGAAGAACACAAACCGTGGGCTGCAGGAATGGCAAAGGAGTGGGTGGAGGCCACTGTATGGAAAATGAGAATCAAAAGGTAGGTTGGGGAGAGTTTGTGAAAGGCCTCCTGGACTCTACCTCTGGGCTAGTGTTGCTCAATCACGATGCCCTGATTCATGGAGAGAGCAGCTGGGTAGAGTGGTGCAAGTAATGTGTTACTAACTAGGATTCTGTCAAGGGGATCCCTGCAGTGCAGCCCCCTCATGTGCAGGCTGCTGGGTTTTCTTAAGGGAGGGAGTAGGAGAGCACTCCCTCTGGGTGGAACCTTCCCCACGCTGCAGGGTAACAGACGGTCAGGGGCCACTGCTGTTGGTAATGGCTGGGAAGATGTCTGGGCTTCAGAAAGATGCTCTGGTTACAGAGTCAGGGGAGGATTGGAGTGAGGTGAAACTAGAAGAAGGGAGATCAGTTAGCAGGCTGGGACAGTTGTCCCCCGACTCCCAGCCATGATGGGGTTTGGGTTAAGGCAGTGGAGACACGGGGAAGAACGTAAATCTATGTTTTGGCAGCAGATGCAGCAGCACTTTGGAAGATTAAGAGCATTGAGGGGGGAGTGGGGGGAGGCATCTGGGTGGCTTAGTCGGTTGGGTGTCCAACTCCTGATCTCAGCTCAGGTCTTGATCTCGTGGTTGTGAGTTGAAGCCCCATGTTGGGCTCCACACTGGGCATGGAGCCTACTAAAACAACAACAACAACAATAACAACAACAAAACACTAGGAAGTTGGGTAAACCATGAAGTGGTGACTTGGTGAGTAGCCAGACCATCATTCAGGGCAAGATCGAAAAGAAGGAGGGTGGTTGGGGAGCGAGTGGTCTTGTGTCCAGTGGCCCGTGTTCGTGATCTTCTCTGCTCTTTACCAAAAGTCAAAACAAAACCCTCCTCGATGCTCTCTGCCGGGCACATTTGCTCCACATCAGGCTTCCTGGAAGCATAACCTGTCCCCAAGTGCACCCCATTACCTACTTCAGACCAGAGACAAGAGCACCAGCCCAGCTGAGAGAGGTGGGCTCTCACTTGCCAATAATCCCATCAACCTGCTCTCTCCCATTACACGGGTGGCCCTAGTTAACTCCATTCACTCTGGGCCGTGCAGACCTAGCCTAATGCTACTTCAGAAATTCAATACGAAATCCCACCCTCAGGGACAGGCAATGGGTCCTGACAGAAAGAAGCTACTCTGCAGGATACGACAACATAAAGTTCTCGCTTCAGGGGATGTATCAAGAAAACCTGGCACACTGGGGAGTGTATGTAATCAGATTCTCCCAGTGTAGAGTTTTCTGGAAACGAGTTCAGAGTCCAGTTTTATCCCTGTCTTTACAACATTATTAGCCAACCCTCCTTGTGGAGAGGTTAAAGACCAACACAAAATTCCGAGGCGCTGAGCATGTATGATTTTAGTGGTGTATTTGCAATAAATTTAGGCAACAACCGAAGCACACAATTCAAAATCACAGTCTAGAAAAATCTGAGGCGAGCGTATTGTTTGTATTTGGGGAATGAATGGGCAACTGGGCATCTGGTAAACAAATCCCGAGGGAGATGGGTTCTGGGCTGGAGGAGGGAGCTACATGGTAGGGTTTCGACCCTAAGCCCCGAAACCTAGGGTTGGCGGTATGTCTGTCAGACAGGGTCAGAGTGTGCCATGACTCGGAATTTACTCGGCTTCTCAGAAAGAAGCGCCTCTTCGTCCCTCTGACTCAGCCTTGCATGCGGTGAGCAGCACTCAGCCTCCCGCCGGTCCTGAGCGGCCACACTGTCAACTCCCTATCCCTCGGTCCTCAGAGCCCCTCCTCCACCCGAGCTCAGGCCCTGCCCAGCTGGCCAGGAGACCCCCCACTCGCCGCTGATTCATGGAGAGAGAAGCTGGGTAGAGTGGTGCAAGCTGCGTGTCCACAGCTTGTCAAGGCCCCCACCCTGGCCAGGTTCCCATGAGGGAGAAGGGGCCGTCCCCTTCTGGGGGGTGGGGGGCTAACTCTCCCTCTGAGATGTTTGTGTTCCCCTGTGGCTGGATCAGAAGCGCCTGAGGTGGTCAGGGTGCGCCCCGCAGCGCCCCCAGGGATGACATCTCCGCGGTGGAGGACAGTGACAGCAAGCAGGCCTGGGATTTGGGCTGTGACTATAGAAAGAAAGGACATTGCCAACTTTCTGGGCTAACAGTTCTATTTGTTGAAAAATAATAGCTGGGCTTCGAGTATCAGGAAGAGGAAAGGAAATAACATTTCTTAGGTATTCAGGGCTTGGTTACTTACCCAGGCAATTCTTTTTTTGAAATGTGATTCCTGGTTTCCTGGACCAGACAGACTTGGGAGCCAGCGCTTCTCCCGGCAGTGAGAGTTAGGGAATCAGGAAGCAGGGTGCAAGTGACAAGACCTCAGGCCCAGGCTGGAGCTGCCACTTTCTGGAGACCTTGGGCAAACTACTTAGCCTTTTCGTGCCTCAGTTTCCCCATCTGTAAAAGAGGAATGATGAATAGTGATGGTACCTAAGGCACAGGATTCCTGCAAGGACCATTTGCTTGTGCATGCATGAGCCCCTAGTGTGTTCAGTCGCAGTTCTAGGGGGATTGTGCTGTATCGGGCAATAAAACAGACATAGATTCTAGTCCTTATGGAGAAGGAAGGGGAAAAAAACAGAGGAGCGTGGTCGGTGGGGTGGGGCAGAGACTTGGGAGAGACAAACAGGTGCCCAGGGCCCAAAACTGATGATGACATGCACACTGCGGGCACTTGCAAGGCCCTAAGGGTGAGTGCCTCCTTAAATTGTGTTCCCTGGGTGCCTGGAACTAGGTGGGGTGCAGGGAAGGGTTGATCAAGGCAGGCAAAGAGCCTTGTAAAGCCCTTAATAAATATTAGCTGCTCTTAAGAGGAGCAGAAAAGCTCTGAAATAAAACTAGAAATTCTTAAAAGTGTCAAGAGGATCAGGCTATTTAGTGTTGGAGGAAATAGCTGGACACACCTCAAAGCATGGGTCCCCAGCTCTAGCTGCATTTGAGAGAGGCCAAGGGCAGTGGTGGATTAGGAGGGTGGAGGGAAGCAGGCGTAGATGCAGACAAATCAAAATAAAAGTATTAATGCTGAAGCACAAGCAACCTGAGATCGTGATTTAGTTGATCTGGTGGGGGGGCCCCAGCATCATACATTCAAAACTCCCCCAGGGGACTCTAGTGCACAGTCAGGATTGAGAACTACTCATCCCAGGTGGGATGATGTTTGAATCATAACATCAGTCATCTAGTGGGAGCACACTGCATGCCCATCACTTTGCCAAAGACTTTATGAGAATTTTCTCATTTCCCCCTCACCTGATTCTACCAGGTCAGTCACAGTATCATCCCCATTTCACAGATAAGGAGACAGAAACTTCAAGGTTTTATGTAAATCTCTCAAAGTCATGCAGTTCACCACCTTACACTGCCTTTCGGTCACAGCCCTGACAATAACTAATGTTTTTAATGAGTCTACTACATTTTCGGGAAAAGATTAAATGTGCTCAAGGAGCTCTGCTTAAGAACACCAGATGCGGTGTAATTTATCTTACAAAGATGACTGTGCAAAATAGTTACAAGTTTCCAAAGTTGGGTGTTCAGAGCAGCGAGCTCTAATTCTGGAAAATCCACTTAAGAGCACATTCCTGGATGATGCCCAGTAAGTGAGATGTGTCTGCTCTGTGAGGATGAGCCAGGGGCGGACAAGAGGCAGGGGGCTTGTCAACTCTGACACACCAGAAACTGAGCAGGGCACCACTTAAAAACAGTCGTCTCCTCCCTGAAGAGGAAACTTAAGTTTCCGGAGGGGAATTAGCCAAGTCAGAAAGGATCCACTAAATCTGGGAGGCCACACAGGAAAGAAAATGCCGGACAGATAGAAGCTTCTGGTCACAGTGTCCCGATGCGGGACCATGATAATTAAAAAGAAACATTGGCAGCCACCCCAGAGAGGGCTCATGAGGAGAGCCGTTAGACAGCTGCCCTGCGGTTCTGGGGCAAGGGTGGGCCCTGGAGAAGCTGAGGCTGGGGTGCCAACACACACCGGCAGCTTGGCAGGGTATCAACCCTGTGGTTTCTTCTCTTCTCTCTGCCAAACCATCGCTGCAAAATCCCAGTCTGCCACTTACTAGCTGTGTGGCCTTGGGCAAGTTACTTAACCTTTCTGAGCCACAATAAGTGATAGCTAATACTAGTGTTTATTGTTATTAAAAATGGATGAGT